TATATATATATATATTAGACCTAAGGATTTGTCACATTGTCTATTAGGTCCATTGTTCACATTGAGCCTTTAGTCTTGTTGGAGGTTTTTTCTCTCGTTCGGTGTCTGATATCTACATTGAAGTTCTATTGCATTAGAGAATGTGTTGCAGGAACCATTCTGAGAGCAACACTTTAACAATATTTTTTTACATACCTAAAACCTCTGATTAAGAATAAAGAAACGTACTCCAATCATCCTACTATCCATTTTGATAATCTTGTTGGAGGTTACAAATTAGTAGCTATGCTTCTCAATTTGGCTAAATTGCATTAATGGATTAGTCATCCTATGCATAAATTTAGGGGTGGGGTCTACTATTTGTAGGTTTAGTTTAATTGAAAGGAGTGAAGGACAAGAAATTCAATTTAAGGATGCAATGTTACGTTTGTATTTTAGTGTTTGATTTAGTGGTTAATAAAGTCGATAGAAATTATATCAAATTGAGATTCAAAAGTCGATAAAGACAGAAAATATTGATAGATATTTTTTTAATCTAGTTCATGAATTGATGGATCGAGGTATTTGGTACCTGTTTGCAATAGAAACATCCAATGAATAAGGTTCAATTGAATTCCTTCGTTGAAAAATCGCATCATACAAATATGACAAAAAAAATTATTTAATATATTTAAACTCTTGAATCTCCTCGACTTGCTTTAGGTCTCAAGACGAAATTTTTAAATATTCATATTGAAATTCATGACTTCGCTAATATTTGTACTAGTTGAAAATAATAGATAACCGCAATATGAGACGAAATTTTTAAATATTCATATTGAAATTCATGACTTCGCTAATGTTTGTACTAGTTGAAAATAATAGATAACCGCAATAATTAACATGAACACCACTATTATAAAAAAAAAAGGAACAAAAAGATTATATGAATCCTCAAATGAAGAAAATTGGTCTGTCCTAAAAAAGAAATGAAAGTGGTTTATTCATCTTTCAAAAAATAGAGTAATATATAAAAATATAAAAAAAATAAAATTTCGGAGGGAGGATGATACATGGATAATTTATCTTCTTCTTTTTTTTTTTCATTTGTTGTCTGGTATTTATATAGGAGCCCGATTAAATTCAGATTCGCGCCAGAAAGTCCCACATTAGAGGTAAAACACTCCTTAACAAAGGCGACCCATTACCCAGGAATAGTTGAACCAAAAACTGTTAATTAAGGATGAATGAGTACTTACCACTCCAAAGCTACCCTTGATTGGTACCTTTGTCATTTGTCAATATGAAAATTCTACTGTTTTTTTCTCCACTTGACACTTTTATTGGAACCTTTTTGGCAATATGAAAGGTCTGATCCTCAAAATAGAAGATAAAAAGGTCAATAGCTCAATTTAGAAAGTGATCTCATAGGGTTTCTTTTTGACCACATAATAATCCATATGGAATGGTGCCATTTGAATCACCAATACACATATAATTAAAACAAAGACTTGTAAAATGGGAAAAGAATAGTAGAAGATGAAAAAAGTGATAAAAGTAGTCATCTTTTTGTTTTTTGAATGGTCTATTCCTATCCAATCATGAAAAGGAAATTCAATGCCCTTTTGGTGGAATTTTGGAGGAAATTCCAATTCACAATAAGATAGTTTCTTTCCATCTATCGAAGTGTTATTGGTGTATAGAATTATCAAATGTGTACGTTGAAGACAATATATATACTGTAGAATTAGATAAGATGTACATAAACTGGTTGAGAAAAAAATATAGATTATATATGAAGTGCTAACACCTAAACGAGAACCTTTAGATAACTATTATATATATTTGTTAGGATGGGTCGACCCAACTTTACCTAGTTCAATTCATATAAGTTTGGAATTTGACGGTCCAAAATAGGTCGGGCTGGCTCATCACTTTGACAAGCATAAAATGGCTAAGCCCAACCTAGGGGACACTAAAATCATCAAAAGAAAATAAAGGTGACTAACTTCTTCTAACATAACTACGAGAATCAAGATCTTCAACGAGAACTTTTTAAGGAATGAGATCTTGAATCAAGTCGTGATCATAAATATATTTGCAGCGACCAACAGAACATGAAACTACTACACTATTGATGTTTATAAATTAAATTTATCGTGTTCATACGTGGGGGGTGGGGGGGGGGGTTGCCAAGTGGCTTAGCCAATTCAGATAATGCTAGCTAGATGGGAAAGTTCAATCTATATAGAGGGAATTTTGGACCACTTTATTAACTTGTGATGTATTTTGATTTTGTTGGGTCATCAAACATTACAACTAACTTTATATGACATTGAATCTTGTGGCTAATTTAAGTAGAGGAATTTGGCATCTTCATAGATTTGGACTACATAATGTTTTCTTATTTATGGTATAGCCATTCTGTTTATCGAAAATAGGTTTTTTTTATCATACAAACATAAGAATCGTTTATACTTTATCTTGCCTCACTAATAAAATCACATTGAATATGTTAGTGGTATGACCATTGTGCTATATATTACTTTCTAATCGCTATAGTATGAGAAGTAACTTAGTTTAATATCATGATGATGCAAAGCAATATATTTACAGTTTGGTAGCTATTTAGGAAGAACATTATTTATGTACAATTAAAATTAGCATCCACCCAAGGTGGATTATGGGATTTAGGCATAATTAATATCATGTTTGGTAGCTTTGAAGTTACTTTGTATAAAATTTAACATACCAAATACTATTATCATATCGAAGTTGCTATGAATTTTTAGCCACAATTTAGAAAGTAACACGGAAATAGTCAGACTTTAATGCAAAAATAAAATTTAAATTAAAAAAATTCCTTTCTTAAACATGAAAGAACATATAAGAGTTTGAACCATTTATTCTTTGAGTTTAAACTTATAAAGGCTTAAACCTCATTAATACAGTTCGAAACTCCAACAAAATTTTGAACCACGTGAACCATTCCTTGGGTTTGAACATATAAAGGTTGAACCCCATGATTCATTTCATGGCGTTTGTAACTCCAACAAAATTTTGAACCCCATAAATCGTTACTTAGGTTCGATCCACACTTATCAATCCTTCGAACTTCAACAATGTTTGTTGGAGTTGTTGCATATAGTTGAGGGTATTTTTGTCCAAAACTTTTTCATATCAAAAGAGTAGTTAAATATGGAGTAGTAATTTTTTATATAATGGCTAATATATGCTAGCAAGTGCTATTAAAAGTCTACTATATTTACCATTTTTCCTTATTTAATCCTGGATAGTCCAAACAGAAATTTATGGACCCATTAGTTGAAGCCCAAAATCAATGGGCCTGG